CACCTTATATGATTGGGGGGGCCAATCGCCTTGCAGCACCTTATATGATTGGGGGGCCCAATCGCCTTGCAGCACCTTATATGATTGGGGGGCCCAATCGCCTTGCAGCACCTTATATGATTGGGGGGCCCAATTGCCTTGCAGCACCTTATATGATTGGGGGGGGGGCCCAATCGCCTTGCAGCACCTTATATGATTCATGGAGATGAAAATTATTAACTTTGACAAAAAGTAGCTGTGAGGATATAAACTCTTGTAAATTGACGAAAGCAACAACGGAGGAAACGATGGTTCCCTGGTCAACACCAGGTGTTGGTTTTAGTTGGACTAGTGCTACTAGAGACTGAACTCTATTCGAAAAGTTCACAATGTCAAACACGTTTGGCCGTACGATAGTCGAGCCAAACACCTAAAAATGTTAAAACTAAAAAAAAAATGCTAATAAAATTCAATTTTGAACAATCATTGGGGGGGGGGGGGTGTTATAATTTGATGTGCTGAAAATGCGAAGAACTATTGATCTGTTAGCAATATCGTAATATTTTTTTATCAATAAGCTATACTTATTGAATTGTTAACAATGTTGTAACAATTTTTTAAACAGTCAATTTCTTTGTTACTAAGACTCCTAAATATAGAGAATGATCTAATAATTATAGGATTCAATACATTGATTGTGGGCCCTCAAAATATAAAATAAGAAATACCTACGATGACCCATGAAATGACCAAGGTTCGTTGGGGAGGGAGTTGGCGTCACCTATCAGTGGGGATAGACGCCCCTGAGATGTTGACTCCCCCCCTCTCGCTCTCTCTCTCTCTCTCTCTCTCTCTCTCTCTCTCTCTCTCTCTCTCTCTTTTTCTCTTATTTCCTTAGTTAAGTATTTGCTTATTCCTCTGACCCAGTCTTTTCTTACAGAAGACCCTCATGGGGATATTTTATTTCTTTGACAGCACATTTAGCTGACATCGGCTTCGTGAAGTCACTGGCTTCTGGTTCTCATGTTCAGAATAAAATTGAAAGCCTCTGGAAAGCTCGTGGTGAGCCGATAGTTTCCCCTTGTTCGCATGTTCAGCAAAGACTTTCAACGCCTTCACGAAACTGTTGTACCGCTGAGATTATGCCTTGGTCTCATCAAAGCTTGAACGCCACCTCTTGTCAGTCCCTCTTTTGAAAACCAATGCTGAGTCTTGCTGACAAGATAGTTGAGCTCAGCCACCCAAAGGTGCGTTGATGCAGAGATCTACAGGTGATTTCATGCCGAAATCTAAGGGTGAGGTGATGCCAAGATCTACAGGTGAGGTGATGCCGAGATGTACATTGATTTAATGCAGAGATCTAGAGGTGAGTTGAAGCAGATATCTACAGGTGAGTTGATGCCGAGATCTACAGGTGAGTTGATGCAGAGATCTACAGGTGATTTGATGCAGAGATCTACATGTGTGTTGCTGCACTCGGACTGTAGTGTGTAAGCTGATTTATCTTGTCAACTGGAGACAGCCAATCAAAAGCCACCATTTTAGGATAACCGTCCAAGTCAAGCGGACTGTGCTTGTCCCCTTTGTTTCCTCCTTTACTTCTAAATCCTCTAGTATCTAATTTGTTTTATACTGAGATGTCCAACGCCAGTCATGAATGTACATTAAATCATTACGCAGGTTAGGGTCAGAATTAGATCCGGACAAAAAATTGTCGTCCATAATGCCCCTAAAATGCCTGGGGCGCCGTGTTCACATGTCCGTGTGTTCACTTGTCCGTGTGTTCACTTGTCCGTGTGTTCACATGTCCGTGTGTTCGCGTGTCCATGTGTTCACGTGTCCGTGTGTTCACGTGTCCGTGTGTTCACTTGTCCGTGTGTTCACTTGTCCGTGTGTTCACTTGTCCGTGTGTTCACTTGTCCGTGTGTTCACTTGTCCGTGTGTTCACTTGTCCGTGTGTTCACTTGTCCGTGTGTTCAC